ACCTGTCAACATATTTACATATATACCTTCATTCCTTTTAGAAAAACAAACAGAAAAGAAAAATGAACAACCGTTATAATCACATCATAACCACGCAGCAAATTTTAAGTCCCTTCTGCATCCTTATACTTTCTGAAAATGTTTTTATTTTTTTTGTACATGTTTTAAAAGTTGTTTGTGCTTGGACTTGGCTTCAGCTCCACATTTAAACTGTTACAAAGTTTTATGCCAACAATAGAAACAGAAAAACTTCTGAATGTTGTGCGTGTGGCCAGAATTTTGAGATTCAGTTGTCTCCATATTGTAACCCCCTCTCTATCAAAGAATAGTTTTGGGATATTTGCTGGTAGTAAATAGTTTTTTTTCTTTGTACAGTATTTGTGCTATTTGAAATTCTGTGAGTTTGAGTGTTTTTGACTGCAAGAATAATGAGTGAGTGTGATCCCGATATCCAGCGTTATGAACGAAGCCTATGGCTCTTTTCTGAAGTACGGAGAGTGAATGCGCTTAACTTTTAATGTGTTGCCCCGAACCTCCTCACAGTAACTTAAATATGGTAAAACAAGTGTACTGTAGAGGGTATGGAGAGATTTGTGATTTATTTATCTATTGTTACCCCAACAAATGTGTATACATAAACTCTTTCAATGCTGACACCATCTATTTGTAGCTGTATTTTGTGTCTGCTTATATTACCAAAAAAATAATTTTTATGTGATTCAAATTTAATGACAATTTATTTCTATCAAAGCACTTTTTTAATTGTTGCCATTTCTGTAGTAATAACCTCTAATAATTGTAGATTCTCACCTGAACAAAAATATTGTTATCATCTGCAAATAAGACCAGCTTCAGTTTATTAGAGACTTTACATACAGTATGTCATTAATGTATTAAATAAACAGATTAGGACCCAACACTGACCCCTGGGGGATGCCACAAGCAATGTCCAAGCACGATGATTAAAACTCCCCCAACTTCACAAATTTTGCCTACGATACGATCCCCCTGATGCCATATCGTTCTAGTTTATTGATCAGTATTTCATGATTTATTGTGTCAAATGCTTATTTGTGTCCAAAAATACCCCAACTGCTTTGTGATTTCCTCTTGATTCTATTAATGCGAATGATGTGAATGGTTTGTCTGAATCTGTATTGTACGGTGGCTGGGAAGTACAAACCAAAAGACAAATTCACTCTATGGAAATAATTATTTACATTTTAGAAAACAAATTTAAAAGGTGTCAAACACTTTACGAGCGCTGAGAGGAATTTACAAATGCCAGAATCTTGACGGAAAGGGAATGTACCAAATGCCAGAAGCGGTCACTTAACCTGTTTTCACATATGCAGACTATTCCTGTATCACAATGTCAACTAAAGAGTGAGAACAACATACTGACGAACAGAAAACTTAATGCAGTCGTATAATTACCTGCATGGAGATCGTACGGTGTATACACTTTATGCACCGTGCAGCAGTCACAGTATACACGTCACTCCCCCTCCCATTGGCTCGAGGTGAATTCTCCAGAGAATATCCTGCTGCGTTCTCACATCAGCTGACTTGGATTTGCTGTGGAAAAAAATACTATGGTGTGTGGCAGGAGAAACTCCAGGTGAAGTCTGAATGAAAAATTGGGCTGTTTGCGTTCACACATGCAGCTCCTCCTGGAAATATCCTGATTTTTTTTTTAGAATTTTTCTGAAAGTGTGTAAACCTTTTCCTGTCTCTCTTCAGCTGTCCTATCAAATAAAGGTAAATATGGCCCAATAGACTGCGTTAAACTTTGTTTTGTCCTTTGTGAAAGTGTTTTCCTTTTGTAATTTTTATTTCATAAAATGTTTTCCAAAATTTAAATTTGTCTCCAGCTTTGTAAAAGTATTTCACACTTACTTTTTCAAGTAAGCAACAGCCAAATAAGTGTGAAGTATAGCTGTATTAAGTGGCATAAATGAAGAAGGAAAAACAAACAAAAGAATGGATAGGTATAGGTAGTGCTAGTAGACTAAATTACCTCAAAACTGTACTAAAGTTCAGTATTTAATTAATGTTAATTTAGTTTATAGTTAGATTTATCAATAGCTGGATAAATACACAATACGTAAACCAAAGCGGAGCAAATACATTACAAATAAACCAGAGGAAAGATATTTTTTATGAGTATTTATTCCATAATCCTGTCCTGTCCAGCATCAAACGCACTGTTTTGAGTTTTTGCCTGATGCCTCTGTACTTCTGCCTGGTTATCCTCATTTTTGGTTTTGACCTCTGGGACGGACTGAGTTTTGCTCTTCCTGAAAACTTCAGTAAACTCTCAGTTTGTGCCTTACTCCTGCCTCTGCCCTGTGATTCTGCGTGTGGGTCTTCTCTGATTTGTAATAGAAGTCAAAAGTTCCTGCAGTGTTTGGGATGATCTGAATCACTATCATTGTAAGGTACACAGCATGAATATGTCACTTAAAATGTGAACTTAAATTCAACTGTTAGTCTAAGACCTATAGGAGAGAAAAAGCATACTATTACCAAATGCAATGCTTTGTTTTCGAGGCTTTTATGCCTTTATTTTCACGACAGGACAGTGGATAGAGTCAGAAATCTTTGGTGTAGGAAACATAGGAAAAACGTGTTTCCGAGTTGTAAAATGCTCATGATGGGCAAAATATGTTTGTTAATGTTGACATACTTTTTATTTTTTGCCTGGTTTCTTGTTATTACCTCGTTTAGCTTCACTCTCGCTCCTAAAAACATTAGTAAGGTTTGCGGCCCTGAGCTCAGGCTCACAGGCTGGCTTGACTGCCGCTCCTCGAGTTTACATGGTGAAGTGAGCCGCCCCTAAATTTGAAGTGCCCACGTATTCTGATCTTTATGGTAAATGCTCCGGACTGCAGAGCGAGCAGGAGGAACAGACAGAGAGAGCGATGAAGTGAAGTGCTAAATGTCTAGGTCTTACCATAAAACTGACTATGAGATACACGTGTATGAAACGGGAGTAAACAGAATACAATACAGGGAATAGCTGCGGAGGTCGGAGAAGTTAGTATGAGAATAATTCTGCGAGTCTGCGAGTTCCGTTTTTCAAAATAAGGTGTTCACAATTGAAAAAAAACAAACAAAAAAAAAAACAGTTTTCTTGGAGAAAAAAATAATTATATATATTTTCTTACATAAGTATACCATGATTCTGATATGGTTGGACTAAGTACTTCCTAGACTACATGCACCTGTACTATGAAGTACTTTTACGGTGTACTTTTTGAGAAATCCATTGTCAAAGTCCCTTATAAATCACTATAATGACTCTTTTTTCTGACTTTGATGTCTTGTAAAAAACAATTCTTCCATAAGTAGAAAATGATTCTGAAATGGTTGGAGTTAGTACTTCCTAGACTACATGCACAAGTGATATAAAGTACTTCTCAAGGATTTCTCAAAAAGTACAGACACACATTTGAAGATATGTGTGCGCATTTGTGGATTTTGCACGGCAGGAGTTGTAATGTTTGTAAAACCCCGAGATGAAGCAGGCGGACAACGACGTAGCAATGTATAGGCTTTAATCCAGAGGCTGCCGGTTACATGCACAAACAGTGACTAACTAACCATGACTGAGCTACATGACTGCTCTATATAAATGTGTCACCCATAGATGGCGTTGTTGCTTCACTTAAAGCTGCCATCAACATTACAGGAGTGTTGTAAAATGTATGTAAAATGACAGCCAATGGAGAGGCCCGCCTCAGTTGTAAGAGGTCATTTGTGTATTTTCAGGATTTACAGCTGAAAAAGTTCACTGCTATTAATAAATAAGTAAACATTTAGAAATTGGTCTACAGATTTGCAGATTAGTACACGCATTTGTGGATTTTTCTTTTTTTTACACATTTGTGGATCTGTGTGTGCATTTGTGGATCTCTATTTACACATTTGTGGATCTGTACGAATATTCAAATAGTTTTGACATAACAATCCTCCAAAATACGAAGAGTTGCTCTTAGTGACCAAATTTTAAGACAATTTGGAGAATCATGACATTTTCTAAGAATTTCCCCTTAAAGTTAAGACAAGATCCTTGTAAAAGAGTTGCCCTGAGAATGTTCCTGAACTAAAAATCCTTCCTAGGATCTTTTACGCTAATGCTCTGAGAGGAGAGGGATTTTGACGAGCAGATTGGAAACAGGTGTGTCTCGTCTGCACATACAGAATCCATACGTTTATTATTATATTATTATTATATTATACTGTTTTTATTATATATTATTATATTATACTGTTTTATTTTTTGTAAATGCTTAGTTTTATTTATTTTTTGATATACTTAATTAATCCCTGAGGTTTCACACTCTGATATTTATAGGGACATGCTTCTCACACACATGCACAAACAGGACCTGTGGACATGCATTGGTGGAAAGATGTCAGAGTCGGGCTGTTACAAGCTGCTAAGCAGAGAGCGCATCAGAGCAGTTGGGGGTTCGGTGCCTTGCTGAAGGGCACCTCGGCAGTGCTCGGGAAGCTATCTGGCACCTCTCCAGCTACCAGACAAGCTTCCAGATTTGGTCCGCACCGGGACTTGAACAGGCGACCCTCTGGTTCCCAACCTAAGCCCCTACAGACTGAGTTACTGCCGCCCCCATTTTGTTGGTCTCTGTATCGTAAATCTTTCAGAGAACATATCAAGCTACTTTTTTTTTTATGAACCTTAGACATATTATGTGAGTCAGTGAAAAAAGTTTTAACTTGTGCGGTCAGTGAGTTTATCCAAAATTGAAACTGAAATACCCGAGACAACATGTAATGACAGGCCGAGTGTCACTCTGTACGTTTGTGTCAGAGACAGAAACTTAAGACATTTTCTCTATGATTTTATTTTAGGTCTTTTTTTTTACACAATACTGTTTCTGTTATGTTTTTGGTAAAGTTGTTTTAAATTTTAGTTTCAGTTAATGAAAATGTTTTTTACACTTGAGTTTTTATTATTTGTTTGATTTCGTTAACAATCCTAACCTTGGAATGAACACAGTCAACTTTTACTGGACTGATTCCTAATTTGTACTTTTCAGCATTTGTTGGGTCTGGATGTTTAACATTGCAATCTTCAAACTGTCTTACAGTTACATGTAGTCTTACACTGACCTGAACCACTGCATGATGTCAACTGTCAGGTCCTTCAAAGAAAAAAGATCATCTCTAAGGTAAGATTTAATCAACCTTTAAATGTCATTGCAATTATTACACAACACACACACACACACACACACACACACCCTGGTCCCCTGAGACATGTTTGGCGTCTCGTTATCATCTGACTGTAAAGACTTTATATCATAAATTAAAGGTTACATATTTAAAATACACTTTAACAAGTGTTTCTAACAGTAATATGTGTCGCTAGTCTGTCTCCAAACCCCCCAATATTAAGAATAAAGGGAGAAGTTCATCCTCTCCGTCTTTAGCTGCTCCACTTTTCAGAAAATGTGTTCTAACAGGCTGTTTGGAGATTTTCCCTTCATGACATCACAAAGGGCAGTAACCCCTCCCCCATGTGGGTAGGGGAATAGGATAAAGGTAGACCGATGTAAATAATTTTCTAATATCTAACGATCTAATCTCTCTCCCTCTCTCTTCCCAACAAACTTAGGCACAAGAGAAACCTTTCATCTGATCGACACATGGATTTCAGGTAAGATTTTCTCAACATTCAAATGTCTCTGGAATTAGGACACATTTTTGCATGCACATGCATACATTATCATGTTTAGGCACATCTATGTGCAAAAATTCAAAGTCCGCGGAAACGCGGCTTCTCCTACGTCCTCCTGTTAGCTGTAGCATTAGCTGCATGTAACACTCAGTTCTAGCCCCCCTTGAAAAAAATTTGTCAGTGTGACGTCTTGTCAGTGTGATGTCACTGATCTAAGCCCATTGGCTCGTTGTGGCAAGCCCCGCAGCTCATGTTGCACGCCCCTTAACTTCTGTAGCACGCCCACGATATGCCGTAGCCTGCAGTAGCACAGTAGTGCTAACGTGCTAATGTTTTTGCCGACAGGCCGACCAATCAGATCAGACTTGGCACACGTGGGGACTCTGAACGTGGGCACTTCAGAGCCTTAGAGAGAGAGTCAGAAGCGAGCCGGTGCATGGAGCGGCAGTTCATGAAAACAGACACTTTTTTAGAACTTTAGATATTGTGAACATACTTTAGTAGGTACATAGATTAAATATACAAACCCCAAAAAGAACATAATATGACCTCTTTAAATATAAACTTCCTGGTTGATATTAAAACGGGAAATTTGCTGCTGGGAAATTGTTTTAGAGACAATATGTTGTTGTAGGGACTACTTGTTAAAAAACTTGACTGTCCATGCTGTCCTGTCTGGATCAGAAAACATTTTGTACCAACTTCAACTTCATGGGGAAATTTGCTTTGCAGCCAAGTAACTCAATAAAACATACAAAACTTAAAGACACAGACTCACTTACAAGAAACATTAAGATGTACAGATACAAGAAAACAGACAAACAGTATTAATAACACCTGTTGCTTTGTTCAACAACCTGTCATCATTTTCATGTGTATTTTCACTCTGATGAAGTTTAATCACACAGTGCTTGTTACTTGATGCAGGATGGAGAGGGAGGAGGAGGACAGCATCGGGGCAGATGATTGGACCCAGGCATCAAACAGAGGTAAGTTGACTCTGTGTCATTCAGATGTCTTTTATCCCCTCATATATTCAGACGAAGCTGGCGTGCTCACTGTGTACCGGGTATTACTCGGTAGTGGGGACACATTGCAGGAAAAACGCCAACCACGGACCCTGCTGCAGCTTTTTGAACATGGTGCCCTGCTGTCTTTATTCCTGCTAATAAAAAGTATTGTTTTTCTAATAAAGTTTCATCAGTTATGAGTGACTGTTTGAGACAGCGCTTGGATTATTTGTAAGAGGTCACCACCATCTTGCAGCTTTTTTGTCATTTATACATCTTGTAGAAATCGTGTTGTGCATCCTTTTTTCACTATGAACAGATGTTATGAACCAAAAGATTATACAACTCTAAATGGACCTTTTAGTAGTACTGTCTGTAATTGAAGTTCTGTCTATGGGTTTTTATCAGGAAAGGGGCCTGGTCGAGTCTCCCTATGTGCCAGAAGTTTGCTGGAGTTGGGATCTAAACATCATTGAGTGACGGCACATTCATCATCATGTATCTTTAATCATGAAACATTTAAAATAATGAATGATTTTTTTTAAATCTTTCTGTTCAAGCTGTTTATACCAGATGACACGCTGGCTGGCTTCTACCTTTAACATCAGATGCAACAACTGTTTTGTTGTTGTTGTGTTTTGATTAATGTGAAAGAAAAGCATTTATTAAACTTTTCAGTCTGCATTTACAAACTGTCTGTCTTGGGTGAACCTCACTGCATTTGTGTTTGGGAATTTTGAGACTCCCCTGTCGTGATTCAAATTCACAAATACATTTTTTTCAGCAGAGAAATGTCTGCAGCCAATCAGATGTCTCCTTCCTATTAGTGCTGGGCGATATATCGTGAAGCTCGATTCGATCGATATTTAATTAATGCTTGATATGGAAAAGGGAACATCGATTTTATTTTTAAACTACTTCCAAGTTTTCTTTCTTGCTTCTTTTGTCGAAGATTTCGTTGCTCCGTGAGATTTCCGCAGCAGCGCTTGTTGCGCGGAGACGAAAGGGCGGAGGAGACTTCACTCCTGCCGCTGAGTAGCCCAGCTCTTAAAAGCGACCAACACGGAGGAGAAAGATGCGAGCGAGGCCGAATTACTTCCAAAAAAAGGCTCATAACGCAGGGCTCGACATTATAATTGGCCCGCTGGCCCGGATGAATGATTGACAGAGTCCAGCTGATTGCACGTTCAGCTGGCGGCTTCACTGCGTTTGGTAAAACGGTTTTAAAACCATCAGATCCCGACAAAAGCCGAGCTTAAATCAGCATTCAAGGAATAAAAATCACCGGAAAAGTTGAGAGTGACAGCAGGGCGAAAACAGAACGGAGAAAAGTTAGATCCACAGTGACAGACAGCTGGAGGAGCTGGAACACGTTAAAGTTGAAGACTAGATCCTGGTAAAGATCAAAGTTATTCACAAAGCACCTTAGCCCTGAAGAGAGCTCCTAAAGATCTAAAGATGAAGAGTTTCTCACAGAGAAGAAAGAAGGAGAGATTCCAGATCTATCACAGCCTCATATTAATATCAGATTAAGTAGACTCTTACAGCATGGTGAATAAACATGAGCACATAGATATAAGAAAAATACAAGTTTAAATATTTAATAAAAGTTGTTATTGACTTTTGCATCAGAATGGTTCAGGAGTAAATCGGTGACTGTTATTTTTCTAATCAAAGGTAATGTTCCTGAGCCAGTGATCACAGTGGTCAGGTCAGTGATATTTTCTTTTTATACAGTGGAGATTCAGTTTTATAGGCTACATTTATAAACTTTAATACGATAAATATTGAATATCGACATTAGGCAAAAAAAATATCAAATTTAGGCCATATCGCCCAGCACTACTTCCTATTCAGCCAATCAAGACATA